CGTGGCAAATGCACTACTCCAAAATTCCCACCCTGCTCCGTGTTTTTATGAGTACGAGCTCCTCATCCCCTACATGGTCCTATGAGCTGTTGTTAACCCTACAAACGTAACCTGTGTCATAGCTTCTCTGTATATTACAGCTGTAGGCTTTCCAGATAAAAGTGGATAATATTTATTTACTGAAGATACTGGATATTTTTTTGTTTGGGAATGGGGTAGGGGGAGAGAGGGGACATAACTGTTTAAAGAGATTGACTATGTAAAGAGAAACAAAATACACAAGAAGCAGAGAAACCCAACACTAAAACATCACTGTATTCAAGTAGAAAGTGTTTCTGTTAAGGACAAGACAACTGTATTAATCTGCCATTGTTTAACTTGCTCCAGAAATCATCTCCTTGGTTCCTGCATGTGAGATATTCCAATAAATACACTATTAGTGTGAGCTGGGGGTGCTGTTGTCTGTCTCTCAGTTGGGGACTCGCTTGGCACATGGGACACAGGGGACATGTGCAGCCCTTGGGTACCCACCAGATGCCAAAACTGGGAGTCCTCGTTCTCCTCCAGGAGACAGAACCTGGGTGTTGTCACTGGGGGAAGGCTTGTCCCCAGCAGTTGCTCTTGGTGTCATTGTATGGCTCGTGCTGCCCTCAGTGCTGAATTCATGTGCCAGCAGTGCTAAATTCATGTCCCACTAAATTCTGGCACATCTTTTGAGGGTGGCACCAGGCAGATGCAGGGGTGACATCCTGGGTGCTCGGTGGGATATCTGCCCACCTGGCTGGGCTTAACTGACAGTCCTTGGAGGGCAGCTGGGTCACCCCTCTGGTGACCTGCAAAGAGATGGGTGATGTTCCCAGCCCATCCAAGGGCCACTTTCCTGACTCATCATCTGGAATTTGTTCCAACATCCCCATTCTGATGGTGGGTTTGATGGGCAGAGAAGGAAGAGCACCAGCTTAGGAACCCCAGAGAAGTGGCATTGGCCAAAACCGAACCAGGCTGGCAGAATGGTGCCCTCGTTCTGCACGTGGAGATCCACGCTGGGTGTTCAAATCTGGGGAAGGGGGTGTGGAATAGCTGCAATAGCTACAGGGTTTCCCCTCCCTGTAGCTACATATTAGCATTCAACAGCCCTGCCCCAACTTGTTTACCCCTCACTGATCATGTGCCTGGCTCAATGTGGGATACAGGGAGGCTCCTGGCCTGGATCTGTTGGGAAAGGTGTGGAGCAGCTGCTGCCCTGACAGGGCAGAATCACACAAAAAGCATCGGGTCAGAAATGTCCAGCGCTGTGCAGGAGGGGCAGTGGGAACAGGGGCTGTGGGAGTGGGGGATTTGGGAATGGGGGATGGATGGTGGGTTTGATGGGCAGAGAAGGAAGAGCACCAGCTTAGGAACCCCAGAGAAGTGGCATTGGCCAAAACCGAACCAGGCTGGCAGAATGGTGCCCTCGTTCTGCACGTGGAGATCCACGCTGGGTGTTCAAATCTGGGGAAGGGGGTGTGGAATAGCTGCAATAGCTACAGGGTTTCCCCTCCCTGTAGCTACATATTAGCATTCAACAGCCCTGCCCCAACTTGTTTACCCCTCACTGATCATGTGCCTGGCTCAATGTGGGATACAGGGAGGCTCCTGGCCTGGATCTGTTGGGAAAGGTGTGGAGCTGCTGCTGCCCTGACAGGGCAGAATCACACAAAAAGCATCGGGTCAGAAATGTCCAGCGCTGTGCAGGAGGGGCAGTGGGAACAGGGGCTGTGGGAGTGGGGGATTTGGGAATGGGGGATGTGGGAGTGGGGGATTTGGGAGCAGGGGATGTGGGAGTGGGGGATGTGGGAGTGGGGGATTTGGGAGTGGGGGATTTGGGAACAGGGGGCTGCTCCTTCCAGGACCTTGACCACATTGTCCTCTGCAGCCCCACAGTAACACTTGTGAGGGAAAGATCCCCTCAAAACCCTCAAATTCTGCCTCCAACAGGGGCCAGAGTGGGTGCAAAGGGAAGAGTGTAAGAGCAGCACAAGCACAAAGGGCCTTGCCCTTCCCCTGTGTCCCCCTCCAGCCTCTGGTGATCCAACTCTCTGAACTGAGCCCAGGTTTGTGAACCCTGATGGGATTCTCTTCTCCCAGCCTGCTCCCACAGCAACTGCAAACTCCCACCGTGGGCTGGGGGCTTCCACACATCACTGCCCTCCACCCTGGGCTGGGGGCTTCCACACATCACTGTCCCCCACCCTGGGCTGCCAGCCGGGCACAGAGCGGGCACCGAGCCCCGTGTGGGCACAGCCTCGGGCAAGCTGTCACTGCTTTCTGGCACTGGGCAGCAGCTTTGCATGCCAGTGCAAATAGGAAATGACCACAGGTCATTTACCTTTCCCCATTTAACCCGAGGGTAAATAAACCCGGAGTGGGGGCTGCACTGCAGTGCCACCAAACCTGCCTGTGCCTCCCCAAGCTGCGGCTCAGGAAGGGACAGCTGGCAAAGCCGAGCTACACGCAGTGAAGGAGAGAAGAGGCTTTTGAATCTGTTTGCGACACAAATTAATGATTAACGCCGCGTTCTGCCAGAGCAAAACAAGCCCCGGGGCAGGCAGGGTGCCAGAGGCTGGGCATGGAGCATGGCACGCTGCTTCCAGCGCAGGGCCGAGGTGTGCTGGCAGCTGGGAAACAGCCGGGGGCTCGCTCTGGGAGAGCCCAGCCGGCGGAGCGAGGGGCACCAGGACGGGGGATGCTCCTCCTGGGGCTGCCGGTTCAGGCTCAGCACGTCCGGAGCTGCGGCTGCCGCCCGGGGAGATGCTCCACATGCCCGGGGAGATGCTCCACATGCCCGCGGAGCCGCACCAGCCTGCCCGGCTGGCTCGGTAGCCCGGTAGCCAGAGCCCAGCCATGCCGGGGCCGGTTTGTTTTCTTTCTCATCCTGCGGTTTCCTCCCAGCCTGCGCTCAGGAAAACGTCTGAGCGACTCCGGAGCGCCCACGTGGCCCGTCCGCCATCCCCGCAGGACTGACATGATGTAATCGCGGGCCCCGAGCCGTGATGCAGGATCACTCCACTCACCGAGCCGCGCTTATTGGCTGCGTGGCCCTGGTCCTACGGGCGGGGTTTTCCCTGCTCCGCAATCCCCGGGAGCCCCACCCCGAGTGGAATCCATCGGCCCCAAAGCCGGCGCACGGAGCCGCGCTGCCTCGTCCTTGCGCGGTGCGCGGGGGATGCTGCTGCTCGCTGGGGAACCCAGGGACAGCGTCACTTGTGGGCTCCCGGCGTCCTCTGGATGGGACCGGGGATGGGGCCTGGCAAAATGCAGCTTTGTACACAGTGTGTGCAAAAGTTAAGCTGTGTTTATGTGTGTTATATCCCCCTTCTGCGTTTCTGGTTTGTCCTTCTATATCCCCCAGGGAAGGCTGTGCCCCGGACGTTGTATGGGTTATTAAAGGTCTGTGACCCCCACGCTTGCACAAGGCTGCTCAAAATCCATGGGGGCCACAGCACATCCATCTCCCCAGCCCTGGAAACCTGCCCTGTCCTCCCACAGCACAGGGACTGCACCAAGGAAAGGGGAACGCCGCCACCACGGAGCCTGGCTCCTCTGCAGTGACCCCAATAAAAACGGGGGGGATGCACAAGGGGGGCAGCACAAGGGGGGCAGCACAAGGTGGGGGGATGCACAAGGGGGGAAGCACAAGGGGGGAAGCAGCAGGCTCCCTGCATGTGCCACGGCAGGTCACGGCTCTCCCGATCATGTGGTCGCTGCTCCCCCCGCGGTGTTTGCTCTGGGTCAGGGATGTCCGAGGGCTGATGCTGCCCCAGCTGCTGGCACAGAGCTGAGCCAGGATTCCCTGGGCTCGTCCCCAGCTCGGGCACAGGTCAGTGTCCCCGGACTGAGGAGGCTGGAGTGGGGTGAGGGTGCAGAGGGGACAAGCAGGGCTGTGCAGCTCCAGCTCTGCTGCCCAGCTCTGTGTGCTCCCCCGGGGTGCTCTGTGCCACTCAGGGGTCCCTGCTGTGCCACCAAGTGGGAGCCAGTGAGGCCAAAGGGAAGTTTCTAAGGTACAGCCAGCTTTAATGAATTCCCAGGTAGCCTCAGATTGTGTTTGGTGGCACAGGAGAAGAGGGGGCAAACTTCCAGAGAGCTGATGTTGCAGCACATTTTCTAGTCCTAAATGAATCCCAGCAGCAGGACAGACCATGGAGCTCTGCAGGGCACAGGGCATGGCATTTTCCTGGCACAAGAGTCCCACACTGAGACCTACCACGCTTGGGCAGCAGCCACAGCACTGATCCCATTGGCACCAGCATTTTTCCTGGATCCCACAACTGATGGACCCCAGGAGGGAGCATGGGCTCAGCTGAGGCTCACAGGGTAGCCCTGGCGTGTCCCTAACCAGGGTGTGAGAGCCTCTCCCATCCTGGGCCATGCCCTGGGCGGGCAGCACAGGTGGGACATGCTCTGAGCCCTGGAGCTGGCACGGGGAAGGCCCAGGGCCCTTGAGAGGGTTGGTTCAGTGGCCCAACCTCGCCCTGGCACGTGGCATCCGACGTGCAGAGGCTTCTGCAGCCACAGCCACCCCCTGCCCACCCGGGCTCCCCGAGATGCTCCCTGCATGCCCTGTCTGGGACTGAAGGGCCTCAGTGCCCAGCCCAGGGTGTTTAGAGCCCAGCCCAGGGATCTGGGGCCTGTCCTTAGGGTTTGGTGCCTGTCCTTAGAGTTTGGTGCCTGTCCCCAGGAGTGAATGACGTCCCCAGGGCTCAGCAACAACCCCAGGGATCGATGATTTTCCCGGGCTCACTGTCTGTTCCTAAGGCTCGGTGCCCATCCCCTGGGGTCAGTGACATCCCCAGGGGTCGGTGACATCCCCAGGGCTTGGTGACATCCGCTGGGGTCAGTGACATGCCCAGGGGACGGTGTCCTGCTCAGGGGTGGCAGCCTGCGCTTCTCCCCGCCCAGCTCCCAGCCCGCAGCCCGGTGCCGCGGGGTCCGTGCCCGGTGTCCCCGAGGGTCCCTGCCCGGTGTCCCCGCGGGTCCCGGTGCGGCGGGGCGGCGCGGAGAGGCGGCGCGGGGCGGGACACGGCGGCGGCCCCGCCTCCATCCCGCCGTCCCCGCCCGGTGCCAGCTCCGGGCACGGTTCGCGGGAGCAACTTGGCGGCTCGTCCCCGTGCTGCCTGTGCCCGGGCCAGCGCGGCCATGGCGGGCGGCCGGCCCCGCCGCCCCTAGAGCCGCCCGAGCCACCGAGAGCCACCGGAGCCACCGGAGCCACCGGAGCCGCCGGAGCCGCCGGGATGAGCGCGCTCGCCTTCGACGACGCGGCCCTGGAGGGGCTGGCACCGTCCCTCGGCCTCTCCGGGGCCAGCGACATCGACACGGCCCTGCTCAGCGACATCGACGGTGCGGAGCGGCGGGGACGGGGCCCGGCGTGGCCGGGGCTTGGGGCATACCGGGACCGGGCTGGGGGCTCACGGGGGCTCGGTGCGCGGCGGGGCTGCGGGCCCGGTGCAGTGCTGGGGCTCGGTGCGTGATCGGGACCGGGCTGGGGGAAAGCCAGGCTCGGTGCACGCCGGGGGCTGGGCTCGGTGCGGCACCGGCGCTTGGAGCATGGTCGGGACATGGCTGGGGGTGTGAGCGGGGCTTGGGGCCCAGCCGGGACCGGGCTGGGGGTGTGACCAGGCTCGGTGCAAGGGCAGGACCGGGCTGCAGGTATCACCGGGGCTCGGTGCGTGGCCGGTACCGGGCTGGGGGTATCACCGGGGCTCGGTGAATGGGCGGGCGCGCTCGGTGCACGGCCGTGCCCGGCGTGTCCAGGCTCGGTGCACGGCCAGGGAGCTTGGTACCGGCGTTTGGCCGGGACAGCGGCACCGGTGTATAACCAGGTCTCCGTGCGTGGCCGGCGGACCGGGCTCGGTGCCGGGCCCGGCGTGGGGAGCGGGGGACCCCGAGCTGCTGGGGCGCGGAGTCGGTGCGGAACCGCTCTGGCTCCGTTCCCGGGGGCCGCTGCATAGCGGGGGGCTCGGGCTGGGGGGACACGGGACAGCGGGACCCCCGCGCTGGCGGTGCCGCCGCCGGGACAGCCCCGACGCTCCCCCCCCGCTCCCGGTCACGGCACCGTGCCGCCGGTGGCCCCGCCCCCCGTGACGTCACCGGCGGGGTTACTCTCGGTCGTTCCCTCCGGGCCGCCGGGGCTCTCCCGGCCCAGCCGAGCGGCGATGGGGCGGCTCTGCCCAGCCCCGGGGCTGCCCCCCGCCACCACCCACCCGCAGCCGCCTCCCCGCCGCCCTGGGCTCCGCGCCATGGGCATGCTGCCCTTCCCGGGGGGACCCCGCTTCCCAAAGGGACGCTTTCCTCCAGGGGACCCGCTTCTCGCCACCGCAGCACCGCGTGTGCCGAGTTCGGTGTTCCCAAGGCTTTAGCAAAAAAATTAGGGATCAAAAAAAAAAAATTAGGAATCTCAAAAAAAATTGGGGATTTCAACAAATTGGGTTGTTGGTAGGGATCAAAAAAAAATTGGGGATCTCAACAAAAATTGGGGATCTCAACAAAAATTGGGGATCGCAGCTGCCGGCAAGCCCCGCACCCGCCTTGCCACGTGCTCCACCGGCCCTGCCATGGTTGTTGGTGGCAAGCCCCGCACCCGCCTTGCCACGTGCTCCACCGGCCCTGCCGATCCATGCCATCCCGCAGCCGGCGGGACACGCGGCAAGGCGGGCACGGCACCTCCAGCACCTGCCCCACTGGGGGTCCGTGGTGGGCTCTCCTCCGAAATCTGGGGTGGAGATGGCGTCCCAGCTCCGCAGGTTCGTCGCAGTGGCAGTCGGGGTGGATCAAAGCAGATCCAGGTGCCACCTGCTTTTCTTGGCGAGGTTTTGGCGTGGGCAGGGAAGGAGGAGCTGTGCCAGGGCTGAGTGGTGCCGTATGGGATGAGGTTTTCCCGCTGTGGGGTTTTGCCACTCTCCTTTGTATCACAGCCAGCCGGGCCACCTCGTACCCCACAGTTCCCCAAAGTGGGTTTGTCACCCGTGCCCGGCTGGCCACGGCTTGTCCCTCATCCCAGTACCAGCCCTGGGGTGATGTGGGATGTGTGCCCACGGATGTGGGTGTCCTGAGCCTGCTGGGACCTGCCAGGACCCACAGGCGAGTGGGTCTGCCCCACAGGTTCCCTCGGTGGGGGTGGCCCTGGTGGGTGCCCATTGTCCTGGTGGCAGCGGGTGCTGCAGGACAGAAACACCTGGAAGGTGCCAAGAGGGTGGGACAGCCGTGCCCACCCCCAGGCTGGGCAACAGGAGGGCAACAGGAGGGAGCACCCTCTCTACAACCCCAGACTTTGCTCTGGACCACGAGGGAGCCTTTTTTTTTTTGGGGGGGGGGGGTTTCTGAGTGGAAGGAGGGGCTGGGAGCCCCCCGGAAGGACACCCCCTGAGCAGGGCAGGATGCCGAGAGCTGGGCGGTTTTTGGGGTGTAAGTGCTGTGTGTTTTGGGGTGTAGCAGTGCTGTGTGCAGCCCCGATGGCTGCGGGGTGACTCCTGGGCAGTGAGTGCGGGGGTCACACCGGGCTGGGCGGGGGGGTTAGCGCAGAGTGACCCCGAGTAACCGCGGGCGGCTTGCGGCCAGTGCCCGGCAGTGACCCGGTGCCGGGCTCACCTTGGGCGCCGGGGGCTGTCCGGGGGCGGCCGGCGGCGATTGGCGGAGTCGCATCACCCCATCGCCGGCCGCGCTCCAGCCCTGGCGCGGGCAGCGCGGGGAGGGCGCCGGGGAGGAGGCGAGAACATGGCTTTAAAATATCCCGGGGCCTCTTCGCTGCCGGGCACGGGGCTGAGCGGGGGCTGCCACCTCCTCCTGGGGATCCCTCCACTCCCACCTCCATGGAGTGCACCTTTGAAGGTACCCCCGCCTCTCCAGCCTCCTCCTCCTCCTCCTCCTCCTCGTGTGGCGGGGTCACCGCCGTGGTCCCTCTTGGAGGCTGCACCCCACGGGGAGGGCGGTGTCCGGGGGCTGTGTGGCTCGGGGGGGACATGCCGGGGGTGCCCTGGGGGTATCCCAGGGTCTGTGTGTTCAGGGGGGTGTGAGCCTGGGGGTACCGGAGTGTGGGGTGTCCTGGGGTCTGTCCTGGTCAGGATCCCAGGACAGCTCAGTGGAGGTGTCACAGAGACCCCGATGTGTCTGTGCAGGTGCCATTGATGGCTGTGTGAGCCCTGTGCTTGCCCAGCTGCCCTCCTGAGGGCTCTTGTGATCAAACACGCCTGGCGCTGGGGTCTGGCACAGCCTGGGGGTGCCACCCCACTGTCCCAGTCTGAGCACCCCCTCCCCTCATATAGGGGCTGATTTGGGGGTTCTCGGGGTTCCCAGAACAGAGTAAATGAATGAGTTGGCACAAGCCCCCCTCAAAAGCAGAGACATGCTGAGATGTGCCCTGCCACTCCCAGACCAGGCTGAAAAACGCTGACTGCTGTTGGCCAAGCCCTGACACCCCCGTTTTGAGCACCGTGCCTCAGTTTCCCCGATGTCAGGATGGGTGGGAGGCTGAGAGGAACAGGGCACAGGAGATTCATGGGCTCTCAGGGAATTTAGCCTCTGGATTATAGGGATCTCTCCCCTAAATGCTGCACTGCGGGGAGGGCAGGACGGGACCAGCCCAAGCCCACCTTGGGAGGTGCGGGGCAGCAGCTGACGGCACGGGGGGTGTGTGTGTTTTACAGACATGCTGCAGCTGATCAACACGCCGGACAATGACTTCTCGGGGTTGTTCGACTCACCGTTCAGTGCCCCGGAGAGCTCCGTGCCCCCGGGGCTTCCCTCCACGCCGGGCACCCTCAACACCTTCCTGGGTCCCAGCAAGCCGCCCCCGGCCGCCCCCACCGGCAGCGCCTACGCGGGGCCCCCCGGGATGGCCAGCTTCACCCCGCCGCCCCCGGCCCCGCTGGTGCCGGCGCCGGCCCTGGGTGTCAAGGAGGAGCCATCCGTGGTGCCCAGCAGCCAGCCCCAGCCCGGCGTCATGCTGGCCCCCAGCTTCGTCCCTGCGTCCCCCAGCCCCTTCACTCCCCAGCCCTTGGTGGGCTACCAGAACCAGCACAGCTTCTCAGGTGAGGATTTGGGGGTGCAGGGGGGATGTGTCCCTGCAGGATGGGGCTGCTTGGGGTGGGCTAGTGCCAGGGGCTCTCTTAACGCTGTCCTCTGCTCCATGCCCAGCTGTGCAGCCTGGGAGTGCGGGGCAGACCCTGCCAAGCCCTCTGCCCACGCCACAACCCAGCCAGCCCGTGACACTGCCCGCCCCCGTGCAGAACGTGGCACCCCAGCAGCTCCTGGCCCCCGCCAGCGCCACCACCCAGTCCGTGTCACCACAGATCCAGTCAGTGCCGGTAAGCCCGGGGCCAGGGGTGGGGGGTCCCGGTGCCCCCCACAGCCCCGCTGACCCACACTGCCCCTCAGGTTCTGCTGCAGCCCCACTTCATCAAGGCTGACTCCCTGCTGCTGACGGCCGTCAAGACAGACGCCAGCAGCGCCAAGACTTCCACCATGGCCTCCCTGGCCACCAGCGCCGGCGGCTCTGCCACGCCGCTCCAGGTGCCGGTAGGTGCCACCGCCGCGAGCTGCGGGGTGGGGAGAAGCTTCACCCCATCGCTGACCCCACCCTGCACCCTGTGCCCTGTGCCCTGCAGGCGCTGGTGAGCGGGGGGACCATCCTGGCCACGGTGCCGCTGGTGGTGGACGCGGAGAAGCTGCCCATCAACCGGCTGGCGCCCAGCGGGAAGCCGGCGCTGGCGCAGAGCCGCGGCGAGAAGCGCACAGCGCACAACGCCATCGAGAAGCGCTACCGCTCCTCCATCAACGACAAGATCGTGGAGCTCAAGGACCTGGTGGTGGGCACCGAGGCCAAGGTGCAGGCAGGGGTTGGTGGGGCGGGGCTGGGTAATTCTGGGCTTTGCGCGGAATTTGGGCTGAACTGTCCCGGCCCACTGGCAGCTCAACAAGTCAGCGATCCTGAGGAAGGCCATCGAGTACATCCGCTTCCTGCAGCAGAGCAACCAGAAGCTGAAGCAGGAGAACCTCGCCCTGAAGATGGCCATGCAGAAGAACCGTGAGTGGGAGGGTAGCTCTTGGGATGGGGGGCTCAGCTCCGTGCCCCCAAGCAGCCATCAGCTTCCTCTGCTTCCTGCAGAGCCTGTGAAGGACCTGGGGACGCACTGCAGCCGGGGGGCCAAGGCAGAGGCCCCCATGGAGGTGGTGAAGGCAGAGGTGATGGAGATGCTGACGCCGCCGCCCTCAGACATGGGCTCACCGTCCCACAGCAGCCCGCTCTCGCTCAGCGGTGGCAGCAGCAACAGCAGCAGCGACTCGGAGCCCGACAGCCCCCTCTGTGCCCCTGGCAAGGTGAGGGGGGCTGGGGGGATCTCCCTGCCCTGAGTGGGGCAGGAGATCTGCTGCTTCACGTAGGAGGTGCCAAGGGGAAAGTGAACCAGATGGGGAAAGAGCTGAGAGCCCTGGTCTTGTTCTCTGAGGCTGCTCCTTGCATGATTTGGGGCTGGGTGGAGTTTGTTTTACCTTAAAATGTGCTCTGTGCCCCATGCCTATACCCTGAAATCCGTGCCCCTGTACTCCAGCCTGTGCCTCATCACCATGCCCTGTACCCCATGCCCTGTACCCCATTGCCTGTATCCCATTGCCTGTATCCCCATCACCACACCCTATATTCCATGCTATGTACCCCATGCTCTGGATGCCGTGCCCTATATCCCATGCCCTATATCCCATGCCTGTGCCCACCACCCCACATCCATGCCCGTGTCCCAGGCTCACACAGCTCTGCCCGTGCAGGTGAAGCAGGAGCACCCTCCACCCTCGCCCAGCAGCCAGGGAATGCTGGACCGCTCCCGCATGGCCCTCTGCGCCTTCGTCTTCCTCTGCCTCTCCTTCAACCCCCTGGCCTCCCTCCTGAGGGGTTCTGCCTCCCCGGCCCCCTTGGGGAGCCAGGACACCGCTGGTCCCGGCAGGAGCATCATGGCTGAGTCTGGCACTTTGGGTAAGCTCTGGTGTGGGGTGGGGCACATTGGGATGGAGATTGTTGGGATGGGTGTGGGATGGAGGCTGTCAGGGTGGGCATGGGCTAGAGGCTGTTGAGGTGAAGACCATCGAGGTGCAGGATGTTGGGGTGGGTGTATGGTAGGAGTTATCTGGCTCGAGGGTTTTGGGGTCAGCATGAGGTGAAGACTGTTGGGATGGGTGGCATCAGAGTGGTGACCATCACAGTGGAGGTGATCGTGGTAGACAGGGCATGAAGGCCATCAGGATGGGGGTCTCGGGGTAGGTCTGAGGTGGGAGATGGTTGGGGTGGATATGGAGCAGAGGCCATTGGGTGGATGCTGCTGGGATAGGCACAGGGTGAAGCCCATCAGAATGGATGTCCTAGGGTGCGTGTGAGGCAGAGACCATTGGGGTGGGATCTGTTGGGGTGGACATGACTGGGTGGAGGCTCTTCGGTGGACATGGGATGAAGGCCACTGGATGGACACCCTGGGGTGGGCACAGGGCAGCATTGGCGGGGTGTTGCTGACCCCATCCCTGCACAGAGGACCCGCGGGGATGGACGCAGTGGCTGTGGCCCACATTGGCCTTCTGGGCGCTGAACGTGGCGCTGGTGCTGGGCGCGGTGGTGCGGCTCTTCGTCTGCGGGGAGCCCGTCACTCGCCCCCACTCCGAGCCCTCCATCCTCTTCTGGCGGCACCGCCGGCAGGCCGACCTCGACCTCGACCGGGTACGCCCCGCCGTGCACCGTGTCCCTGCCCCACCTGCCCTGTCCCCTCGTCCTGCCCACGCTGACCGTGTCTCTGGTGCAGGGGGACTTCGCGCAGGGCGCCCAGCACCTGCGGACGGCGCTCGGGGCGCTGGGGCGGCCGCTGCCGGCCTCCCACGGGGACCTGGCCTGCAGCCTGCTCTGGACGCTCCTGCGCCACCTGCTCCAGCGCCTCTGGGTGGGCCGCTGGCTGGCTGCCCGCGCCGGGGGGCTGCGCCCGGACCCGCCACCCCCTGCCCACGTCCGCCAGAGCGCCCGCGACGCTGCCATGGCGTATCACCGCCTGCACCAGCTGCACCTCGCCGGTATGGAGGGACAGGACCCCTGTGCCCCCTGTGTCCCCACAACGCCCTGACCTCATGCCTGAGCCTCCCGTCCCCATTCTTGCAGGGAAGCAGGCTGGGGGACATCTGCTGGCCATCAACCTGGCACTAAGCGCTGTCAACCTGGCTGAGTGCGCCGGTGACGCCATCTCGGTGGCAGCGCTGGCCGAGATCTACGTGGCGGCTGCCCTGCGGATCAAGGCCAGCCTGCACCGCTGCTTCCACTTCCTGGCGGTGAGCGCGGGGCACTGGGGTGTCCCCTGTGTCCCCTGGGACCGGGGTCTCAGGCCCTTCCTGACCCCCTGCTCTCCCCGCAGCGCCCCTTCCTCTGCAGCGCCCGGCGCGTGGCCCTGTCCCATGGTGGGGCCGTGCCCCCCGCCATGCAGTGGCTCTGCCACCCCTTGGGCCACCGCTTCTTTGTTGACGGGGACTGGGCGGTCAAGGGTGTCCCCAGGGAAACCATCTACAGCTCCGCCGGCAACCCAGGTGAGCCCGAGCTCCCAAACCCCGCAGCCCCGTTTTGGGGTGTGCTGTACCTGCTGACCCCATCTCTGTGTCCCAGTGGACCCGCTGGCTCAGGTGACCCAGCTCTTCCGTGAGCACCTCCTGGAGAAGGCGCTGTGCTGCGTGGCCATGCCTGAGCCCGGCCGTCCCACCGCCCAGGGAGAGGGGTGAGTGTGGGGTGGGCACCTTCTCCCCCTGCCTGGCGTGGGGCCAGCCCCCTCACAGCCCCTTTCCACAGGCGGTTCTCCGATGCCCTCGAGTACCTCCAGCTGCTGAACGGCTGCTCGGATGTCAGTGGCACACCTGGCCCCACACCCTCCATCACCTCCGGCTTGGCAGCTGTCACAGGTGAGGCTGGCATGTCCCTCATTGGGGTCACTTCATGTGGGGGCCGTGGGGGTGGAAACACCCTGCTCCTGTGTCCTTCCTGCCCTGCAGGCACCGACCCAGTGTCCAAGTGGTGGGCATCCTTCATTGGCATCGTTATCCACTGGCTGCAGGGAGATGAGGAGGGGGCTGAGCGCCTCTACCCGCTGGTGGAGACCATGCCCCGGGCACTGCAGAGCTCTGAGTGAGTGCTGGGGACACTGGGGACAGGGGTGGCACCTCAATGCATGTCTCCCATCCCCCTTGGACTGGCACAGCCACTCTGAACACACTTGGAGCACCTGGTGTGTGCTGAGGAAGGAAGTGACCGTGCCCCCTCCACCTTGCAGGAAGCCCCTTCCCCGTGCTGCCCTGCACTCTTTCCGAGCTGTCCGTGCCTTGCTGAACAAACAGGATGGGAGCCAGGCCACCCTGGGCCACTGTGAGAAGGCCAGCAGCTGCCTGCGGGAGAGCCTGGAGCTGGGCAGCCCCCCCAAGGGCACCATCGACAAGGTGAGCTGGGCTGGGGAGGGACGAGGTGGCCGCGAGCCCCCAGCCCTGGCGGGAGGTGCCCCCGACCCTCGCGGGGGTGCATTGTAGTTGCATTGCATGTGTCAGACTGGGAGTGCAATGCCCCTGCCATGCAGCCCGGCGGGGGTCCCGCGCAGCAGCGCCTGCCCGCAGCCACCCCCTCGGCACCCCCGTCCGTCCGTCCCACCCCCTGCTCACCCCTTTCCCCTTGTCCCTGCAGGCGGTCCAGCTCCTGCTCTGTGACCTGCTGCTGGTCACCCGCACCAACCTGTGGCAGCAGCAGATGGGGGCGAGCCAGCAGCGCAGCTGCCTCTACCAGGCATCCGCCCTGGAGCTCCGCGGCTTCCAGCAGGACCTCAGCAGCCTGCGGCGCCTGGCGCAGACCCTGCGCCCCGCCATGCGCCGGGTGAGCCCCCCACCCGTCCCCTGCTGGCTCCCCTGCCGCCCTGCACCTGGCTGTGCTCACTGTCCCCCCCGATCCAGGTGTTCCTGCACGAAGCCACCGCCAGGCTGATGGCCCGGGCCAGCCCCACGCGCACCCACCAGCTGCTGGACCGCAGCCTGCGGAGGAGAGGGGTGCAGGGCAGCAAGACAGGTGGGCACGGGGTGGGACACCTCACTGCTCACCTGCAGCACCCCAGCAGCCTTGGGGGGTGTGGAATATGTGGGGTGGGACACGTCGCTGTGCAGCCACAGTACCCCAGCATGCTGGGTGGAGGGACATGGGGTGGGACACCTTTGTCACCACCTTGGAGGATGGGAAATGGGGTGGGGCACCCTGCTCCACACCTACAGGTGCTGGGGTGTGGGAAACCCCATTCTGCACCCACAGCAGCTTGGATGGTGGGATATGGGATGAGACACAGGGTGGGACACCCCTTTCCCACCTGCAGCACTCCAGCCCCACAGCTGGTGGGTCACCGGGTGGGACACCCCACCTGCAGCACCCCAAGAGCTGGAACACGTGAGCTCCCAGCCCCTCCAGGGCGGTGGCACCAGCTCCAGGGTGGCGAATAACCCATCCGCGATCCCTCTGAGATTTATTCTGTGATTTCCACGGGCTGACCTCAGCTCTGTCCCCTGCAGCTGGCGAGCCAGAAAGCCACCCCACGCCCCGGGAGCACGCCGAGGCGCTGCTGCTGGCCTGCTGCTACCTCCCGCCCAGCTTCCTGGCGGGCCCGGGCCAGCGCGTGGGGATGCTGGCCGAGGCCGCCCGCACGCTGGACAAGCTGGGCGACCGCCGGACGCTGCATGACTGCCAGCAGATGATCATCAAGCTGGGCAGCGGCACCACCGTCACGTCGGGATAGGTGGGGAAGGGGCCGCCAGCCCCCCTGCCACCCCCGCGGGTGCGGGATGCGGGGTGGCGGGAGGCCGTGCCTCAGTTTCCCCGCAGGGTGATGTTAGGGCAGCGGTTTTGGGGGTGAAGGGGTGGGTGGGGAGGGGGCGGGTGATGCCTGGTGGAGGTGGCAGCGTGGGGCGGCCACACGTGGGGTACCCTGGGTGGGCTCCCCCCGACCCCCGGCCGTGTCCGTGTCCCCAGCCCGCGCGGGGGACGGGGCGTGGGGCCCTCTAGTGCCACTGCCGCAGTATTGCAGGGCACCGGCGCGCGCGGCAGCGACCCCCGGTGCCACCCGACCCCCCCGGTGCCACCCGCATCCCCCCGCTGTCACTGCACCCCTCCGGGGGTCCCACCGCTGCGGGACCCCTTGGCTTGGGGGCTTGCTGCTGGAGATGTGGCCCCACGGCAGCGGGGACGTGCCCCCTGCCCAGCCATGCCCTTGGTAGGCAAGAGGGGACCCCCACCCTTCCCCCTGCTCCGATCCCCCGCATTGGGAGCTGCCAGCACCCCGAGCACGGACAGGCTCTGGGAGAAGGGCTGGCAGGGTGGCAGGGGGCTCCTGGGGGGCTGGTGGGTGCCCCTGTGTCCTCGCTTCACCCCCTCTTGTACATAGACCCCTCCCCTCGCCTCCCCCCACTCCCCCTTTCCCTTTTTAAACGGTATTTTCATAGTTGGAGAGTTTTGTACAGACAATTAAAGCTGATTATTTATACTGGTGTGTGCTGGATTGGAGGGGGGCTGGCACCAAAAGCGGGGGGCAAGGGGCCCCCCACAGCTGTGGACACCTTGTCCCCACAGGGCTGCACAGGACGGGGGGACACGGGGGGCAGGGATGGGGACACTGGCTGCTGAGGGACCCCAAACACCCCCTCTTTACCCCGGGGTGCTGTCCCCACACCCCCTCCCCTCCATCGAGACCCTTGGGGACAAAGGAGCAGGCAGGGGCTGTCACAGCCCGGGGGGGACCCCAGCAGCCCCCCAAGGATAAAGAGAGGCCACGAGCAGGGCGCCACGTACTTCCAAAACAATCGTTGTATCTTTATTGACGCTCTGAATGCAATGACCTGTTTTTTTACTCTTAAGGAAAATAAACATCTTTTAGAAACAGCTTGTTACACACAATCTTCAGTGTGAAGCAATATACTAATAAGAACACTAGTCTTAACATTTACAGTCTTCATATATATTATATATATGTATATGTATACATATATATACACTATATAATGAGGCAATATATAATACACACGGTTTACCATTTTACAGTCATATGTACAAGATGTCACTAAAAATAGCCAGATTTCAGGCAACACTGCCAAGGACACGGGATATTTTTTTCTCTTTAAATTAATTTATTATTATTATTATTATTATTTCTCCCTTTAAATTTTTTTTTCTCACCTCCTCTTTTTGTTTTTCACTCCTGTGTCCGAGGCAGCTGCTGAAACAACAGACATTGTGTGGCCAGCAAACCTTGGGGTGGGTGGGATGGAGGGGACACAAGGTGGTGTGGACACGGGGCGCTGGCTCTGCAGGGGACATGGATGGGAGCAGCAGCGTGCCCCCCTTTGCAGGGTGCTGCAGAGCTTGGGGGACGTGTTGGCTGTTTTTAGGATGAGATTTGGAGCTGGTTCACCCTGGGCTGCTTGCTACCTGTGTCAGGGTGACACAAAGATGGGCTGTGGAGCCTGGGGACGTGGGCAGGGGTCACTGAAGTGTTGGGCAGCCCCCCAGCTCCACTGAGGTGGCCAGAAAGCAAAAGCTGAGGGAGCTGAGCAAACCCAGGGCAGCGAGGGGTGAGCCAGGCCCGTGTGCAGGGAGGAAGCAAATGCCTCCTCCTCCTCCCCCAGGTCAGCACGCAGAGCTGTGGGGTTCAGCACAAGCACAGGGAGCAAAGCCCCCGCGAGAGGAGCCACAGAAGGGGGATGGTGAGGCCAAGCACAGGCAGGAGGGTGGGTTTGGGGTCCTGGACAGCAGGACCAGGTGTCCCCAGCCCAGCAGTGCCAGCGCCTTGTGGAGTGGCAGGGTGGGGGTGCAATGAGTCAGGGTTTGGGGTTTGGGAGCGGGGCTGGGGCAGCCCGGTGGGTGCCCACCAGCCTGGCCAAGCATCCTTACCCCCCCAGCACCCTGGGAGTGGGCAAACAGGAGATGGAAGAACAAAACAGAAAAAGCAGAGTGGTGTTTCAAACAGCAGGCCGTTGTTTGCCCTTTTTTTTTTTCGCATTTTTCTCATTTTTCTCTTTTTTTTTTGTCTTTTTTTTTTTTAATCTTCTTCTTCGCTGAACTATATACAGACACCATGAGGTTTGCTGAAGGCAACATCTCAGATCAGATCAGTGTGATATTGAGAGCCGGGACCCGCGGAGGGTCCGGCGGCCCCACAGTAAGACAACATCGCCGGGACCCCCCTCGCACACGGACACCCCCCGCCCCCTGTGCAGCCATGGCGGGTGGGGGATCCCGATCCGGCCCCCGCGGATCCAGACCGGGTTTTACCGGGCCCCGGCGGGAGGGAAAGCCCGGCGCTGGCTCCGCCCGCCCGGAGCGGGCTCGGGGGTCCCGGGGCGCTCAGGGGTCCCGGCACGGCCCGGCCCGGCCCCGCTCTGCTCCAGGCGCTGCCTCCTCTGCCGGTCCCTCGCTGGCGGCGGGGCGGGTGCCCGCGGGCGCTACACCGGCTGCCTCTGCGGGGAGAACGGAGGAGTCAGCCCGGGATCCCCATGGAGGGAGGGGGATGCCCCTGGGTTGTCCTCATCGCCCCCCCACCAATAACCGAGCATCCACCCGGCACGCTGTGCTTTCAACCATCATCCGCCACCTCGTCTGTGCTCAGGGAAGGGGATAAGACCCCTCAGACCCAGCTGGGTGCCCCAGATCCAGTGGCTGGCACACCCGGATACCCCGGGGATGTGATGCCCACACAGAGCTGAGCATCCAGGATGGGCATCCCCAGCAATTTGGGGTCTGAAGGCAGGTCCTCCCACCACAGGGAGCTGCAGAGCATTGCGGGGTGCACAGGGGGCTCTGGCTTACCTTATGTTTGGGACATCTCAGAGAGAAGCTCTCCTCAGTTAATAAGCAGCCTGCGAGGAGAGGACAAGGACGTGTCAGGGCACAGCCTGCGCTGCGAGGCAGCTGCCCCCGAGTGAGGGGAATGCAGTGTCCCCCCAGCCCACAGCCACCCACCAGCCACAGTGTAAAGGGCTCAGCTGAGGCCAGACAAACTTGTGACACCTGCCAGTGCCACCAGCACAGTGGGCATCACCACCCTGGCAAGCAGCGAGCCACAAACCCCTGACCCTGGAGCAATGACCCACACTGAGCTGTGTCAGTGCCCAGGACCCCGTGCCCCATCCCCGTGGCCGGGCTCACCTGTGTCGATGGCACATGCGTAGTGGTAGGTGTGGGGACACCCCTTCTGGCAGCAGCCCACGGTGGCTCCTGCTTGCTGGCAGCTCGAGCACTTCTGCACGCGCACCCGGGGATTCGCAGCAGGGAAGGAGAGATGTGGAGAGACAGAGAGACCCTGTCAAAGCCCAGCACAGAAGAAGAGAACCACGACAGCCCCAGCAGCGAGGGCAACACCGGTGTCCCTGATTCTCTCCAGCCCCTCCTTGCCTCTCCCAGGCAGCATCCTTCCTCCCGTGCCAGCGCACTGTGAACCACACCACGCCCGTCACTGGGCTGTCTGCATCCACGCACGAGGTTTCCACCTGCCATGCCACTCCCCTGGATGACACCGAGCCCACAGCCATGCTCCATGGGGCAGGAGGGGAAGGGACATGAGCTGGGTTGTGCCCTACCTGCCCCGTCCCCAGCAGGGGCTGCAGGGATGGGAGCAGCTGGCTCTGTGGCGAGGGCAGCAGCCTCCAGACAGCCATGAAATGAGCACACAGGCTTGGGAATACAGCCAGCCCCCAAACCTGGCACTGGGGGCACTTGCTGGAAACCCCCTGCACAGCCTCTGATGGGAGGCTGTCCCCTTCCTCTCCCCAGCACTAAAAATCCATGTCACAGAATCCTAGAATGGTATGGAAGGGACTTGAAAAAACTCATCTCATTCCAGCCTCCTCCCACAGGCAGGAATACTTTCCACTAGAAGAGGTTGCTCCAAGCCCCATCCAGCCTTGAACACTTCCAGGAATGAGCCAGCCACAACTTCTCATCCCCTTCAGCAACCTCCCTGCTTTGCTTGCTCCAACCACTGTGGGAGAGGAGCAGGGCAGGGTCATCCCCTCCCTGCTGCCCATCACGGTGGCATCAGGCTGTGTTGTGCCCATTTTCACCTCCCACCCTGCGGCATCTGTCCTGCTCTGAGCCACCCCGTGCAACACTCGACTGGGCCAGGGGATGTGACAATCCCAGGAGGGGCCAGCCGCCTTCCTAAAACATAACCCGCAGGCTATTTCTGTGCCTATCAGGGAGAGTTCAGGTGCTATCAGAGACGCAGCAGCACAAATCTCGTAGGGACCCAGCAGGGCTCAGGGTGCTGAGCACCTCCCCTGCTCTCCCAGGGCAGAACTATTGATTTCCATCCCGACCGGAGGCGCAGGCACGGGAAATATTTTGGCTGAAGGAGGCCAGCGGAAGATGCCGCCTCGGGCGTGCGGCCGAGCTCTTACCAGGTCGGCAGCCGCCTTGACAGCCTCCTGCAGCCCATAGAGCTTGCCCGCCACCAGGAAAACCCCAGCGGTCCATACGGCACAGGCCTCGTGCAGCCAGTGCTCCTGCGTGTCGCCTGCCGGCTCCTGCGGCGGCGACTCGGCCTTGTGACATTCGTGCCGCCGGGGCTTTTCGGCCGCCTCCTCGCCCTCTGTCCTCTCGTCACAGCAGTAGCAGCTCTGCAGCCGACGGAACATGCCCCGCGGGCTGGAGCGCAGCGAGCTCTGCTTGGCCGCCTCGGCGGCCCCCTCAGGCCGCGCCGCCTTGCCGCCGCAGCCGCCCTCAGTCCCGCGGGGCGCCCGCTCGGCCGTGGCGGGCACGCCGGACTCCTCGCCCGGCCCCTCTGCCCGCGCCTTCTCCTTCAGCCGCGATTTCTTCTTGGGCAGGCAGTCCTCGGGGTAGTAGGGCCCGCAGAGGTCCCCCAGGTCCTTGTAGTTGGCGGGGTTGCGGCAGAGGCAGCAGACCAGGCACGCGGCGCTCAGCGCCTTCGACACCACCGGGCCCATGTGCATGGTGGAGGAGGCGGGCAGGGCCGCCCGCGGCCGCGGCGCCGGCCCGGCCGGTCCCCGCTGCAGCCGCGCCTCGTCGCCGGGCGAGTTGACGACGGTGCAGGTGGTGGTGAAGTCTCCGCGCCGCTCCACGCGCACGTAGGGAGCGAAAGGCGGGGCGCGGCTGTCCGCCCGCAGCCGCTTGCAGGAGATGTACTTGAGCCGGATCTCGGGCTCGGCGGGGTGCAGCAGCGGGGCCTGCTGGGGCTGCCGCCGCCGCTTCCCGCGGCTCTTGCACCGCGCCGGCACCGCCTTGGCCTTGCCATGGCCCAGACGCTTCCGCTGCCGCTTGGAGTAGCCGTTGTAGTTGGAGTGGTTGGCCCGCGGCTTCGGGCCCCGCGCCGGCCCGGCGGCCGAGCGTCCCTCAGGAGGGCCGTCGCTGCTCCCTGCCTCCTTCTCCTCAGTCTTTGGTTTTTTCTCCCGAGGCGCCTCCTCCGCACCACCCGGGCCGGCTACACGCTCCCGGGGCAGCGGTGCAGGCAGTGCAGGGCTCAGGGGCGCCTTGGCCATGCCCAGCGCTGCTGCTTTGCCCTTGCGGTTCCTCTTCTTGGGGAGGAGCCCCAGGTTCTTGGCCACCATGTTGGGGCTGGACTGGGTCCCTGGCGTTGACCCACAAGCCTCCCCCTGGCAGCCGTCATGGGGCAGCTTCTTCCCACCACCCGGCTTCCCCTTTGGTGCTCGGCCATTGGGGTTCCGGCAGAGCGGCTCAGCCACCGGCATCGTGGGCACCTTCTGTGCTGCCCCCAGCTTGGGCAGCCTCGCATCGCCCACTGCCACAGCCACCCCACTGTGCTTCACTACCCGCTCCCGCTCTGCCCCAGCCGGGCTCAGGGAGGAGCCATAGGCAGCGACTGTGGCTGCCACTGCTGTGGCTGCTGGTTTGCAGGTGAACTTCTTCAGGTTGGGTGAGGTGATCTTCTGGACAATGGCCTCCAGCTTGAGGCCGCGGCCCTTGCGGGGAGGCAGCACTTTGGTCTTGGTGGCCTCCTGGAAGGCCGCCCGGGAGGTGATCTTGATGCAGACATCGGGGGCCTCCTTTGGCAGGGGGGGCTTCGGGATGGCTTCGCCAGAGCTCTTGGGGGGCAGCTTGGCTTTCACCTTCTTGGCCACCGGCATTTTTTTGAAGAGGCTGGGGGGACCCTCTGGCTTCTCCTCCTTCACGCCACCGCTGTTGCTCCGCAGGACCAGGTTCCTCTTCTTGGTGGGGATGGGGGAGATGAAGGTGGACTTCCTCTTCAGTGAGTGCAGCGGCCGCTCCGACATCTTGCCGCCCACGCCCGGCCCTGCTTTGGGCAGCTTCATCCGCGCACCCACCTTGCCCTCCTTGTGGGGGCTGCCTGGCGCTGGCAGCTTGAAGGCAGGTGGGAGGTGGTTGTTGGATATGAGCTTTTTGGGCGCCTTGCAGTTCTTCAGCCGGACTTCAGCTGCCCGCTTGCCCCTCTGCCGCTTGGTGTAGAAAACCTCCTGTGTCTTCGTGCGCGAGCGGAGGATCATCGACCGCTGGTCCCTCTCCCCGGCTTCCACCGCGTCCCCCTCCAGCGGTGTCGGCCCTGCCACCTCCTCCGCCGCCACCAAGCCGGGCACCAGGAGGGTGGCATCGCCGGTGTTTTGGACCACCCTGGGGGCCGGCCGGCTGTTGCGCTTCCTGGTTTTGAAAGCCACCCGCTGCTTCACGCCGCAGCCGGGCTTCTTCCCCAGCTTCTCCTGGTGCGCGGGGGCCTTCAGTCCCTCCAGCGGGGCAGGGGCGCGGGGCTCGGCCAGGGCGGTGAAGGAGCGGGTGCACATGCGTGCCGGCAGCCCCTCGGCTGGAAACCGGGGTGTTTGGCTCTGGGCGCTCTTGCTCGGTACCTCCGTCTGTCCGTCTGGCCCCAGGCAGGCGCCGGC